GTAGGGGTCCTGTTTCATTCTTCTGCATGTGGCTATCCAATTTTCCCAGCACCATTTATTGACTAGGACTTCTTTTCCCCAGTGTACATTGTTGTCTGCTTTGTCACAAAGATCAGTTGGTTGTAGGTAAATGGTTTTAAATACGGGTTTTTTATTCTGTTCCATTGGTCTATGTCTCTATTTCTGTACCAATACCATGCTGTTTTGGTTACTATAGCCTCGTAGTATAGTTTGAAGTCTGGTAACGTGATGCCTCTCCATTTGTTCTTTTTACTTAAGATTGCTTTGGCTGTTTGGACTCTTTTCTGGTTCCAAATGAAACATAGAATTATTTTTTCTAGATCTGTGAAATATACCTTTGGTAATTTGACGGGGATTGCATTGAATTTGTAAGTCACTTTGGGTAGTATGGACATTTTAACAATGTTGATTCTGCCTATTCATGAGTATGATATGTTTTCCATTTGTTTGTATCCTCTGTGATTTCTTTCCTCAAAGTTTCACAGTCTTCCTGTAGAGATCTTTCACCCCCTTGGTTAAATATATTCCTAGGTATTTTATTGTCTTTGTAGCTATTGGGAATGGTGTTGAGTCTTTGATGTGATTCTCAGCTTGACTGTTATTAGTATATAGAAATGCTACTGATTTATGTACATTGATTTTGTATCCTGAGACTTTGCTGAATTTATCAATCCCAGAAGACTCTTATTGGAATCTTTAGAGTTTTCTAGATACAAGATCGTATCACCAGTGATGAGCGATAGTTTGGCCTCCTCTTTCCTGATTTGGCTACCCTTTAATATTCTTCTCTTGCCTGATTGCTCTGGCTAGGACTTCCAGTACTATTTTGAATAGAAGTGGTAACAGTGGGCATCCTTGTCTTGTTCCAGCTCTTAGGGGGAATGCTTTGAACTTTTCCCCATTCAGTATGATGTTGGCTGAGGGTTTATCTTATATAGCTTTTATAATTTTGATATATACTCCTCCTATGTCTAGTTTGTTGAGGATTTTTGTCATGAATGGTGCTGGATTTTGCAGAAAAATATTTTTTCTGCATCTATTGAGATGATCATATGGTCTTTTGTTTTTGCTTATGTTTATGTGGTGAATCACATTTATTGATTTACGTATCTTGAACCATCCTTGCATCCCTGGGATGAAGCCCACTTGGTCCTGGTGGATTTTTTTTTTCAAGTGCTGTTAAATTCGGTTTGCTAGTATTTTATTGAAGATTTTTACATCTATATTCATAAGGGATATCAATCTGTAGTTTTCTTTTTTTGTTGTATCCTTTCCAGGCTTTGGTATCAAGGTAATACTGGCTTCATAGAATGAGTTGGGCTTCATAGAATTATTATGGAATAATTTCTGTATTCTGGGTACCAGGTCTTCTTTGTAGGTCTGATAGAATTTGGCTGTGAATCTATCTGGTCCAGGGGTTATTTTGGGGGGCGTGGGGGTTATTATGGTTTCTATCTCACTGTTCATTATTGGTCTGTTCAGGAGTTCTGTTTCTTCCTGGTTAAGGCTTAGGAGGTCTTGTGTTTCCAGGAACTTGTCCATTTCCTCTACATTCTCTAGTTTATGAGCATAGAGATTTATATAATATTCATGGATGGGGGCCGAGGGCGGGGCGGCCGCAGCCTCTGCCATTCCCGGGCCCCACCCCCCTGGCCTCGGCGCACCGCACTTCCGCCCGCGCCCGCCCTCCCCAACCGCGCGCGCGCTCTGCCCGCCCCGGAGCCTCGCCCTCCGCCACGATGAGCAGGTGAGTGCGAGCGAGGGCATGAAATTTTAATTCCACTCAGGGGAGAAAGTGCTGTGCTTCAAGCCTGACCCCAGCAAGGTGCGAGTGCTGTACGATGCCAAGATTGTCGATGTTATTGTTGGGAAAGACGAAAAAGGCAGAAAGATCCCAGAATATCTGATCCATTTTAATGGTTGGAACAGAAGCTGGGGTAGACGGCAGCCAAAGATCATGTGCTTCGTGATACTGCTGAAAATCGTAGATTACAGCGTAAATTGGCAAGAAAAGCTGTAGCTCGCCTGAAAAGCACAGCAAGACAGAAGCAGCGCTGTAGGTTGCCTGGTGTTGACTCTGTCTTAAAAAGCCTTCCTGTTGAAGAAAAAGATGAAAATGATGAAAACTCAATAAGCAGTTCCTCTGATAATAATGAAGCAAAGGAGGAAGAAATAAGTGAAGAAAGTGATACTGAAGAAAAGATCGAAGTGAAAGAAGAACCGGAGCTGCAAACACAAAGGGAAATGGAAGAAAGAACAATAACTATAGAAATCCCTGAAGTTCTGAAGAAGCAGCTTGAGGATGATTCTTACTGTATTAACAGGAGGAAACGGTTAGTGAAGCTTCCATGCCAGACCAACATCGTAACGATTTTGGAATCCTACGTGAAGCATTTTGCTATCAATGCAGCCTTTTCAGCCAATGAGAGGCCTCGTCACCACCACGTCATGCCACACGCCAACATGAACGTGCATTATATCCCAGCAGAAAAGAACGTTGACCTTTGTAAGGAGATGGCGGATGGACTAAGAATAACCTTTGATTACACTCTCCCGTTGGTTTTGCTCTATCCATATGAACAAACTCAGTATAAAAAGGTGACTTCGTCTAAATTTTTTCTTCCAATTAAGGAAAGTGCTACAAACACTAATAGGAGCCAGGAGGAGCTCTCTCCTAGCCCACCTTTGTTGAATCCATCCACGCCTCAGTCCACAGAGAGTCAGGAGACCACGGGTGAACTGGCCACCCCCAAACGGCGCAAAGCTGAGCCGGAAGCATTGCAGTCTCTGAGGCGGTCCACGCGCCACACGGCCAGCTGTGACAGGCTGTCTGA